AACCCAGCCCCAACTCAAACTCAGCCCCACACTTTAGCGGGGAACGAGCCAAACCCTGCATCCCGCGGCCGCGCGCGCTCGAGAGCAACAACTTCAACCCGAGCCACCACAATGAACGCAGCTTCCCCAACCCCCGCGAGCGCGCGCGCGAGCGCGTATACGGAATCTCCCGCAGCCGCGTTCCAGCAGAGACCTTTCCCCACTGCTACCGACCCCGATGGATGTCGACCGCAACATGTCGTTCCACCCGGGCCGCGGCAACGACGAGCGCGCATGCACCGGGTACGGACACACCAGCTCCGATCTGCGCCGCGACTTGGCACGCGAGCGCGGCCGCGACGGTCACTCTGGCGTCCGCTCGCGCATCGCTACGACAACAAAAAGCGGCCCGCGCAGCTCCTGCGGCCGTGACTACAACGACATGCAGCCGCCACGGTGGCCGCTTCGACGACCGCCTGCGCTCCCACAACGACGAGCGCTAATTCCGAGCGCGACGGCCGCGGCCCCCCGCGCGACAGGATGGATCTTTTGGTGGAGGGTCGGGGCGGATCTCTGCTTTTCCAATTTTGCTTCTGCTCCTTCAAAGTTTTTGCTTCCGCTTCTGCTCCTTGATGTTGCTTCGTATGCTCCTTGTACTTCTGTTCGCTCGCCTGTCTTAGAGTCTTCTCCGTCCATCTCGGAGCCTTTGTTTTTTCTTCTCCCGCCTCGATGAAGCCCCCAGCCAAGAAGCAACGGGTTCGTTGTCGACACGACACCGGTTCAGTCGACAACCTACATCAAAGAGTCTTATATTTGTTTGGCAGACAGAAGGTCTTCACCGTCCAAAATTTGATCACCAACTTGGTGTCCACAACTGCTCCAGTCTTCCTCTTAAAAAGAGTCATAAAGAAGCGCTAACCCTAAGCCCAGGCTTCATCCCAGACCCGCCCCCCTTGGATTAGGAGACCTTCGACAAGTCCATCACCGACTAGCAACGCAGCGCGCGCATCGGTTTCCAGTTTATGTAGCGGCCGTCCTAAATTCAAGTTCTACCCCGCCAACCGGCACTCCTAGAAGAACTCGAGTTCTACATTCAACACTGTGAGAAGATTCTTCGAGACTGCTTCAACAAGAATCATGTACGTACCCACAAAATTCTCAAAAAGCCGCTTTTGACGCCTTGCTCGATCTAAAAAAGAACGACTCGATTGTCATCAAGCCGGCGGACAAGAATCCCGGTCCTACCATCCTCGACAAAACGGAGTACGTACAACTTGCTCAGAAGCACCTGAATGACAAGGACACTTATCAATTGGTTGACTCTGTGGACTTCCCCCGCATTCTTGCCGAATTGAAAAAGATTCTACAATTTCACGCAGCAGATGGACAACTCGGTCAATCAACGGTCAAGTTCATGCTGAAAGCCCCCCCAACTGGGTGGCGTCTCTGCTACCTTTACATTCTGCCGAAGCTGCATAAGCAATCAGCTGCTGGACGCCCGATCTGTAGTGCCACCGGTTACATCACCAGTGCCACGTCATGAATCTTGAACTCGGAGTTTCAAACTGTCGTTCAGTCGCCTTTTTCTCACCTTCGTGACTCTCAGCAGTTGCTGGTCAAGTTAAATGCACGAACCTTCCCACAGGATGTGCTCTTGTTCCAATTCGACGTCGTCTCGTTGTACCCTAGTATTAACATCATACACGCTCTAATGCGGATCCGCCGCCTGCTGGAAGGACGCCTGAAGCTTCATGGAGCACGTCTGGAGCTAGACCTTAGTCATCTTCAGTGGGTACTCGAGGCTGATTACATACGGAATTTGGCGCAGAGATGTACCAGCAAGTAAAGGGTGTAGCTATGAGCACAGCACTCCAGTAGCAGTAGTTTTTTGTTGCTTATACATGATGGCACTTCAGCAGCTGCTTCAGGACAAGTGTTCATGAGACGGACTACCTCAGCCCTTGTTTCTCAAACGTTTTTCTGACGACGGGTTTGGTGTTTGGCACGGCTCCCGCGAGTCTCTGCAGACGGGGCTCAAATTGTAGGACTCTATTTTCCTCAGCATTCGAAATACTTGAGAAATCTCCGATGCTCTGTGGGGATTCTGGACATTGTGTTCTCAAAAGGGACCCGTTTCAGAGAAACGTCTTCTCGACTCGGCCACACACCAAAAGGCCCTGAACTGGTACCTCCACATTCCTTGGCGGAGTTTCCGCTCGGCACACGCGAAGGCCGCATTCTTATTTAAGGTGAGCTCTGTCGCTACTGCCTCCGCGAATCGTCAGTCACCGGCTTCCACAAAATCCGTCAGTTGTTCTTCGACAGTTCTGCGCGCGCGGCTATCCGAAAGCCTTCCCTCTGAAGGCTTTCAAGTGTCTCGCTTTCTGAGACCGCGGTCGACTCCTTCGAAAGCTGCCACGAGAACAAAAGACACTGCAAATTCCTCCGAAGCCGCGCCGCTTACCTTAGTTCTCAATTCAATCCTTGTGCTGCCAAACTTCGAATAAGTGCAGCTATGCGCACACCGTTCCCCTTCTGTGACCCCCGTCTAGACGTGTTTTTCTAGACCACGGCAGCCTGGCAAAAAGCGCAAAATGTGCGCAATCCGGTAGTTTGCAACAATTTTACTCCGTAACACGCTCCGCTGACCGGACACGGCAACACGTGACACGTGGCCACCCAATAGAAAACCCCGGAAAGCCACGTGCAAACCTAATTCTCACTTCATTGATCTCGCATCAGACCTGCGTTCCAGGCCTTTTCCTTTATTCTCTGTACATTTGTTAAAACACATATTCTAGTGACTTTCTCTCCAACCCAGGACACCGCTCTTACCGGCGCCCCTCTACACTTCACGGGGCTCATATGCGGGCCTCCGAGGCTCCCTCGGCCGCCGGCATCGACCGGCTCCATGGCCTGGTTGCCCGGGGGACCCCCTAAACCCCTAGAACTCTTGTCTGACCCGCTCAACGGCGCCTTTACCAAGGTTGAATTCAGTCTTAACCCTTATGCAAACCTTTATTTGGTTATGCAGTTGGCAAAAGGCCCCGATACAAGCACCCCGAGCACCCTACAGCCCCGGAACCCGCCCGTTTCGTCACCCCCAACCCCCGACAAACCCCCCGGGCCCCCCAGGCACAAGTAAGACCATTCCCGTTTTTGCATTTTGTTCCCTTTTCAAATTATTCTTTACCTCTTCTCCCGGCTGATTCCCCAACTCTCCCTCGCTATCTTCGACCCTACAGACTGCCCGGGTGCCTCCTTCCGACCCGCCCTAATCGATCCATGTTCAGATTGGGCTAGATTTGTGTAGGTTTCCCACGTCATCGGGTCTTACCGTAGTGCCCGACACTCAGGCTCATCACTCGTTGGTGGCAGCCATGCATCCTAAGAGGAACACCGAAGCGCCTACAAGCGGCTTTCTTCTCTCCACAAACTTCTCTTAGAATGATGTATGACAATACTGTTTCTCCTTACTATTGTCTTACGGATCTCTCCTTCCATTAGGCTCAATAGCCTATTAGGCTCACTAGCCTAACTCACACACTACTAGGCTCAATAGCCTAGATCACACTTTCACATCAACTGTGCCGTGCGATTACCCATCTACGGCTCACACTGGCGGTCCTCTCAACCGCCTAACCTCCCTGCACGCATGTCGGCGTTCACTGAGTCGAAACCCCTAAGTCGGTCCAAACCCTACTCATAAATAATCGGCTGATTATAATCACCGAATTCTAAGAATCCAAACCCTTGCCACATACACCTTAGAGCCCTCACCCTAGTCCCCAGATTCTGTTATACTCTGGCAGTCTCGAATTTACACTTCATAAAATTACCGAAAACAACCCCTTACAATGCACACCTCCCTATTCCTGCGCCCCTCTAGCTGACGTCATCACGGCCGACTGCTCGGCGCACGCACGCGTGCTCTTCCCCATACCCACACTTGCTATAATACTCGTTTCCGACCCTCTTACCAACCTCTCACCACCCCTCAAAGTAAGCCTCTAGCATAGATTCACTCTCCCCAGGCAAAATTTTAGCTTTCCAAACAGCGTGACCCTATAAATTTCCAAACTCCTCTAACATAAATACTTACAGTCCACGACACCCTCAACACATTCCCAACCCCAATTCCCTAAAACCAATCCTTTTGAATTTGCTCTGCGTTCAAATGGTCGCGCAGCGTTCCAACGAGTTTACTCTTGAGCGGAAGTTGCTGCATCATCAAGTTCTGTTAGCCCGGCGTTTTGTAGTACTTTGTGATTAGTACGGCCATGAGAGTCAATTTCGAGGCGCCCAGCCCGCCCAAACATCTGGAGGAAAATGATGACCGATATGGGCGGGGAGGAGAGGCCGGGCCTTACAAACATGCCTCATCATGCATAAATGCACGACTCAAGACGCACCCAAAACCCCTAAAACCCGGCGTGAAATCGCTGTGAAACTCGGCGTGTGTCTCCGCGATCCATAATGAGCGCGAGCAGACGTTTTGCTCATGCCACTGCAGGTCAACAACATGTGTGTTGACAAGGCATCGGCTGGCGTCAAGCAACGATAAGGTCGCCAAGTTGTGCAGGGGACGACAACGGGCAACCGCTACACCGACTCATATATTTAACCACAGATTACACCGTGAAATTTGAGCGCCAGCATTACACCGCCACATATTTTAAGGGGCCCGAGATGAAGACGACATGAATCGCGGATTCTCAGTGACGTCACAGTCTGAGTCAACACCCAACACGCCCATATTGACCTTTCTCGAATGCATAAACACTATGGCCTGCTTTTGCGACCCTACGATGCGCTTCACCTTGTTATAGCATATCTCGTTGTACAGATCAAGCTGGCGTTGCCTCCCTTCCTGACAACGCCCACGAAGATCTATCGGATTCAGGGAAGTTTGCATAGAATGTGAAACATCATACCAACCTTGGGCCCGGGCTTGGCGAGCGAGGAATCCATCCAGATGCAACGACAGGGCTTGCTAGCGTCATCTGCCGATAGTTGAAGCGTTAACACAGCAATCCTGCAGAAACGAACGGATGGCTGTTAAGATACGGGGCTCCGGGGCTCTTTGACGGCCAAATTGTGTTGAGATCGAGGGGTCTTTGGTGTTTATCTCTGTTAAAATTAAGGAGTCTTTGGTCTTAATCTCTCTTGAGATTAAGGAGTATTTGTCCTGATTACGCCCTAGTATCCTATACCATTGTAATGTGGTGGGTTTATTGTGTGATGCAAACGTTTGGTCTTAATGAGGCCAAGATTAAGGTCTTAATGTGGATGAGATCAAGACCGGATGAGGCCGAGATGAAGGTCTTAATGTTTGAGAGATTAAGGACTTGATGTAAGCGAAATTGATCTTAATGTGCTGTAAGATTGACGTCTGAAGGTGGTTAAGATCAAGATCAATTAAGACAACCAACGTAAAGAGCACGTAGATTAAGATCAGATTAAGATCAGATCAAGATGAACGCATACGAGACCATCGAGATTAAGGACAGATTAAAAGGGAGTCGTGTGGATCGTCCGATGGTAATTGTTGGAGTTGTTGAAGCTAGGCCGTCGGTTTGAGGAAGGGATCACCTAGGCTAATTAAGGACTCCACATAAGCTAGAGACCTAGCTACGTGATTGGACTTGATTTGGACTCTTGACTTGTGATGGAAACTCATTCATACTAAGAGATGCTTGGTGAGCGTTAGGGCGACTCTTTTGTGAAGGCGCCTGTGTGTGGGGGTTGTTAAATCCCTCGTAGGATCCAAAGATGAGCGTGTGAATTCAACAGCCCCCTGATATGGCTGATAAACAGCCAACGCCGGCGGAGGATCGTGCTGATTTGAAGCATTACAGCGCGACGCCTCAGCCTATCGAATGGTGTATAGGGGCGGTAGCACGGCCAAATCGCCCATTTTCGAACCGTCGCGTGCGTAACTCGGTAACGCCGTGCGCCGGCCGACGGTAAAAATAATTCAAATTAAATAATTATTCGCGCGACGGTAGTCGCGGCCGCACCGTAAAATTCGTCGCGCGCGGCGTCGGCTGAGCTGCGGACGGACTGAAAGCAGCCCGCGGACGGTGCAAATGATGCATGTGATCGCGTCCGAACGCATGTTTGAGACGCTTGCCAACATTTGCGAGGCTCTATGAAGCCAAAGGGTGCCACGAAATAAAGAATGGAGTAGGGAGTTCGATGCATCAGTGCAAACAACAAGGTAGCTAGAGCCTAGGCTTGACTCGGAGGCTATTTACGTTGCACATGTACGTCGGCTAGCACGTTTGCATCGAGGGCAAAAATCGGTCATGCAATTGATTCCGCATCGCAATTTGCATTTGCAAAAGTACAAGCCAATGCTCACAGCTAGGTCGGCGGACACAATTTGCGAGAGCAATAATGTATTCAAGATGTCACTCTTTAGCTATCAAATTTGAATCTCTCCCAAGCTATTCAATATGCTTTCGTGGTCCTAAAATTTTAGAGTGTATATACTTCGACCTCGTCTCCTACGTCTACGTCTTTCTGCCTCCGTCTCAGGAAACATATCAAACCGAATGCTTCTCACAAGGTGAGAAAACAACAATGCTTTCGGCTTGTCATTCAGAAGATAGTATTTGTGACCATCTCGCACCTTCGATTGCAACTCGTAATAAATACACTCAACCACCATATCACCCAACTCAAAACTATTATCCCAACCATCCGTGGCCGGACCAGTCAACCTGTGCCTCGACTTTGAGCATTGTGCGAGATAGTAATCTTCCTCCCCAGCACAAGGGACCGCAAACGTGTCTTCTGGCTGCAACCAACCTGACAAATCGTCGTAGTCACCCCCGAAGATGGCTCCCTCATCCTCATCTCCTTCTAATGCATCGGGAATGTCCCCAGTCGGCTCCAGATTTGCTTGCAGCCACTGCCCTACCCGAGCAACTTCCTCACAGACCTCGTCGTTCCCTGCCTGACACGGCCCACAGAAGCACGAGAGCTCCTTGTGAAACAACACAGTGGGGTTGTTGGGATTCGAGCTGCCCTTGAGCGAGTGAATTTTCCGCGTTCCCGGCACTGTCTTGCAGCAAAGCTTGGGCAGATCCTTAACGGAGTCCATCTCAATGAGGTGAAAGTAGCGAGCGGTTTCGGCCCGCTGATCCGCCCGGCTGGGAAAAGAAGAAGGGGCTGCCGTTTTGAGGCGAGCTTGGAGAAGCTCGACGACCTCCTTGGCGTTGGTGAGCCTTGGAGCGTCGTCACCATCGAGTAACTGCCACTTGCGGAGTGCCGACTTGACGAGAGCGCCCATTCCGTCGTGCTCCCCTTTCCCGTGCCCCGACTCAAAGAAGTTCCACTCTGCCGGTACCTCGGTGAGACCGAGGTGCCGGGTGTCGAAGTAGAATGCGTGGGCAGACTTGAACTGGGAAGCAGCCCCGTCCGAGAAGAACACGTGCTTGTCGAGGGTGATCCCCTTCGCCTTGAGCCAGGCATAGTGGACGTCGACCAAGCAGTGTTGGACGAAGACCGTGCCATGGTCCTTGTCGTCCGAGATGTAGAAATGGAGCTCTTTGACGATGTCGCGGTGCTCGTCGTGCTCTCCCGCCCATCAACCGCCAGCTCGGCATGCCGGTAGGTAATATGCAGAAACAAGGAGAAGCTTTGATCAGTAAAGAGTGCTGGGGATCACGAGAACAATTCAAGACAGAAGACGACTACATCTGGATGCACTGTAGGACAGCCGAGCGTGAATTCTCCACGGGAAATCAAAGCTAACTAGCCGGAATGGGCAGATGCAGCAACTTTGCGTAGGTTTAGTAATCTGTTTAGCAGAATTCGTACAGGCTTCAACTTGAAAGAAGACCAACCCCGGGCTTGAAAGCAGATTCAAAAAGGCAACAAATGCACGTACGCTTTATGCCAAGCAGATCTGAACAACTACAAGAGATTCACACCAGAAGAACAAAGACACGGAGTCAAATACTAAACCGTGGACACCACCAGATCCATTTTAGAAGATCCATTTTAGAAGGTGTTGTGATCTTCATGTCTAACTTCGCAAAGAGTTGTGCACAAGGATGGAAGTAAGAGGAGACTTACATGCACGAGGATTGTGACTTGGTCACTGTACCAATGCATCGACTGGATCTCGTTTTGCACTTGGAAGGAGTAATTCTCGGCGAAGTCGATGACGGAGACAATTGCTTCTTGGGGAAGGTGGCGATGAGCTTGCGGAACCGGGAGTCCTGCCATTTGGCTCGGAAAGAGTGGCCGGCATAAAAGTTGAGCTTCGCCTCAGCAGATTTGAAAAGGACCTATGAGAGGTGCTCTTCTCGAGGAGTTTGATCCGCTTTTTGGGGCGGCCCGCAGCGTCCAGTTGCCCGGTTGGTACACTCGAAGGCTTGGTAGGTGACGTCAGGTTCCCCGGGCTGAGTTTCGAGGGGGCACCGGGGAAGCTTCTTGTCTTTGCACAAGGGGCAGGTGCGGTTGATACACTCCGGTTTGTGGAAAAGGGACCCCGGGGTTTTGGGGCACAGGAGAAGCCCACAGAAGCCAGCGCTGCTGGCGTACGTGCACCGCTTGTACTGACACGTGGCAGGAGGGGGAGTTCCCGGGACGGGGAGGGGGCGGCAAATCTGGCAGTCGCATTCGCACACGTTATCCTGGTCGGTGTGGCCTCGCTTGCGCAGCCGGTTGACGCCGGCGAGGTAAAGCTTGACTTCCTCGTGGTACTTGCAGCAACAAACGTTGCGGTCCTTGAGCTTCCGCACAAACCTGCATGTTGAAAGGAGCGTATTCACACCAGCTCCATGCTCATGTAAACCCGCAGCAGCCAGCTCCTAAACAACTCAGTCACGCTGAAGTCATGTGGTCATTGCAAGCTGCCAAGGTCAAGCAGGTTGGGCAATACGAAAGGACTCAACGTTTTCAGTGCGCTCAATGTCTCTGCAAGCTTCAATCACTTAGGAGGCAGGCTGCCCTATTCACACCAACGATACCTCCAAGGCAAACCCACGATAGTCATCAGATAAAGTGGGCGCACTATGAGAAGCCCTGATCTTGCAGACTGTTAAGCTCGCATGCATATACCGACCATGGCTTGAGCTCTTCAAACTTGCGCTGCTTGATCTTGATGTCAGGGTGCTCCTCACAAACCTCAAAGTACAGCTCCGTCTGCACCACACACAAAGCAGCACAGAGGTTAGTTCTATGTACATGGATGCCGCATTTTATTCGAACCTGATCAAACAAGATGAACACAGATCCCAGCAGTGAGCAAGCCATCACACCCGCACCTCAATCTGCTGGCAGCAGCCTGCTGACAACGCATATCCCAGTCATTCTTAAAGACTGTGGGTACCAGTATGCAAAGCAGTCTGCACATGCACAGCTACCACCAGCTCAACAACAAACCTACGGTGCTGACGATAACTGTTTCCTTGCATGATCTCTTGACTTCAACCCAGCAGCACTGCAGAGCCAGTCAAACAATGGAAGTCGCAACAAGAGAATGGGCAATTTGGAGCTCGGGGATCTGCCTGCATTGAACAACAATTGTTTCTTTCGTCCAGTACTTGAGCACAATCTCACCTGAGACTTCTCGAGAAGGTGGGTGGGATGACTCTCATACTGATTGGGCCCAGTCCGGAACCGCCGGACGTCTTTCTCATTGGGCAACACCCTTGTCCGCTCAGCCCAATGACGCTTGACGAGCGCCTGGTCCTCAGGTGAGATCGCATCAGATTTGCGAGCTCGGTCTGCCACCGTCCACGCCCCCTGACCACTCAATGCAAGCTTGCGGCGCTTGACCGCTGGCTGCAGAACGCGGCGCTCGACGTTTAAAACCTTAGCTGTGGCTCGTTGCCTTTTACCCAGCACGGTCTCTTCTCAGACGAGCGCAGACACAATAGCCCGTTTGGCAGCTGCTTTGTCCTTCGCTAACGTTCCCTTTTTAGTGAGGGTCTGAAGAACCTGTGCTGCGCTTTCGACCACGTGTTTCTAAACACCTGCCTCCTTTGAGGTGGCAATGCCCGCGGCTGCTCGCGCTATCCTAAAATCTGAATGATCCAGGACGTTGCGCAAGACAATGCCTTGGTCCTCAGCGGTCAAGCCTTCTGTTTTCTCCCCAAAAACTCTTCGCACGGCTACAGCTGCTGCTTTCAACCTCTTGCTATGTGCAGCCTGTGCAGCCTGCTCCCCTTCTTCCGCCTGCTCCTCAGACTGCTCTTCGCTGGCACGCCGCTTACGCCCGCGCGCTACCTTGTTACGCGCAGCGTCCTTTGTTTTAAAGGCTGCCTCCTTTGCTTTCAAGCCTGCCTCTGCAAGACCTGCCGCCCCCTCAACTGCTAGTCTGTCCCTAGTACCCTGACCCGCTCTTTTCTTCTTCCTCGAGTTGGCCATTTGAACACACTGCTGCTGGCAGGGAACACACCTTCATCTTGACCAGCATTGAGCGCACTTGACTCCTTACAGGGCCACCACGAAAAACTTGAACAAAAGTTATCAGAAATGTGTGAGAAAAAGTGCAAAATGACGGCAAAAAAGAGACCTAGCTGCACAACTCTTGAAAACAGCGAGGAGAAAATAAGTGGGCCCGGACCCGACAGACATGACTGTACACCATGTATTTCAGGTGCTGATTCTCCCTCTAGAAACCGTCTCCCTTCCGCCTCTTCTGTCCCTTGCTTCCAAATGTGACCAGCTGGGCGTGTCGACCTGATCATCTTGAAGGGCTGGATGCACTCTGGTGGCAACTTTGGCGGGGTTTCCCGAGAATTGCGCCGGTGGCCCTGCAGGGGGGTCAATTTTCATACTTGGGGCCACTTTGGAGTTCTCCAGTATCCCCCCATCCGACCTGATTTTGGCATTCTTGGAGTCCACGCATACCCACTTGTTGTCAGCTTTCGATTGGTTGATTTTCCGCCAAAATCGGAGGCCATATGGTCTACGTGTGGCTGGTAAACAACATGATGAATGCCAAGAAAGCTGACATGGACGGCTTCCCATGGACGCGCGGTCCGGGGCCGCCCGGAGATGACGTTAGCAACGGGCACAACTGGGTTCGAATCCGTGATCCTCCATCTTGTTCCAAGCTACCTAAGCTTTACATCACTCTTTTTGGCCAATTCATGCCAAAGTTATAGCCATTGCAAGTCTGCACTGTCACCATGGACGCTGAAAATGGGCGATTTGGCCGTGCTACCGCCCATAGGGCCGCTTGTTGCAAAAGCCCCGCTGCCGATGGCGTGGCTGGAAAAGCGGGCCGGTTTCCGTCATCAAGAAGTACCCCTCTGCTGGTTCGAAGTTTGCCGCAGCCGCGCCCGGGTCAACGGAAACGGGGGTGCGGTATACAGCGGAGTGCTCGGGGAGTTACCTTGTGCATATGCGGAGGGGGCAAACGGAGATTCTCTAACAGGCTCGGGCGCCTCCGCGGAAGCCCGTCCAACTGGTCTCTCCTCCATCTCAATTTCCGTGCGGCAGGTCCGCGGCATTCTCAGGCCGACGACGTAATGCTTGTGCCTTCGTTACTGGAACCTCGGGCCCGTTTAGTACCGGTGATTGAAATGGGATTAGCAAAATATTTGCAGCGGAAGATGACGTAGAATCGCCGCCCGAAAGCGTGTACGCGCTCCACCATGTGCTGGCCTTGCGGGAACCTTTCTTGCACTTCCTCCCACGCGGCCTGCTCCAATTTTAGTTTCTGACCGGATCGTTCCCCCTGGCGACACTCCGTACATGATGTTGCGACGGTCGCACACAAGACTCTGCGCCCAACGTCGACAAGCTCACGCTCCTATTTTTCCTGTTGGGAACTACGTTCCCTCTTTGCCACGCGCTTCTGCTGTAGGAGGACTTTTACGTTGGTCGCCAACTCCGGTGCACCGTGAATAAGCGTTTCGTCCGTCGCCTTTGCGTCTAAAACCGTCTCCATCACCACTGCTGCGTATCAGGAGTGTCCATTCCCAAAAACCTCTTTGACAGTGAGCACGCCATTAGCTTGAACGTCATAGTCGCTCAGCGCCTTCCGCACATTATCATCTCTTGATGGCTTCTATATCCAAAAACGCCAAGGCGGCAGCCTCGTGTCAAATGGCATGGTTCCATACTTGGATCCTGCGTATGCGGAGCTCTCGGCAATCGTCACTTCCTGGAGATGCCAGCGCCGCGTCTGTTGTCTTTGAGGGATTCTGCGTTGCACAAGCAGAAACCTGCGGCATTGCGGTGCGATTCCGGTCATTGCACTTCCCTCCTGCCGACCGGGCCACCCGGGTCCTTGACCGCAGGCCAGTGACGGCTCCGCCGGAGATCTGCACATTGTCGACTGCGGCGCCGCTGCCGACCGGTCGAGGCCGTCGGCCGTCTAGGGATGCTTTGATTCAGACAAGGATGCGTGAAGAATGATGCCTCGATGCTTTGATTCAGACAAGGAGACGTGAAGAAAGCATTCAATCAGGACTCTTGGACCGCAAGAGAGGGTCTTGTTTAGCTTCAAATGACGCCGCGTTTGCGTCGTGCTTATTACTTGGACGTTTGATCCACAATGGTCTAGCAGGGGGTAATCCCATTGACGAGCGACAGACCTAGAGCCTCGAGCAAGGGGGTGTCGACAAGACAGGCTGTGAAAAACAAGTGCAACTGCAATGCGGTTTTTTGCCTTGCTAGCTCATTTGCATCTCTGCCGAGAGAAGCAACTAAAGTCGTCACACCTCCTTGATGACCCTTGGGACCTGGAATTACCCCTTTCTAGCCACTGGTTGATACGCCTTGACTGCCTGTACAATATGTCGTCTTGTTGTGGTAGACTCACCAATTGTGTAAGGCTGAACATGCACGGCTAGGTGTTCAAACATCTGCTCAAGAACAACAGAGGCCATAGTTTGCATGGGGTGCAATACAAGACTGTTTGGGAGCGTAGACTTAACGCAACGGCGCGGACGTTTGCGCACGTCCCCTGGCCCTTGGCGCATAGACCCAAGTTGTACAAATGATTCTAACAACCCCAGGTTTTTCAGATTATAAAGATAACCCAAAGCTTGGCCATTCTCGCGTGCTCACTCGTCCCGATTGTGCCACATAGCCGTGCCTCCCCACATACTGTGACCTTCACACGCGCCTCCCGGTGCTGCTTGGAAGTTTTTTCATGGTGCCTTGGGCGAGCCGCTTGTACTTCGATCCTTCCTCTCGGCATGCCTGGCTTCCTCACACGACTTTCACCAAGCGCTCTTCCTGGCCCTTCCGCGTTCGCTTTCTTGCTCGTTTTCCCCAGACCTGCCCACTCTTGCCGCCGCTGTCGTTCGTCGACCTGGCTCCTTTGGCACATCTTGTTAGTTTCGCTGATTGTAGTCAGCCGAATTACTGTGATTAGGGTTCGGGCCGAGTCAGGGTTTGGACCAGTGAGCGCCGACGTGCGTGCACGGCAGTTACGCGGTTATACCTTGGAGGTTAGGCGGTTGAGAGGACCGTCAATGTGAACCGTAGATGAGGATATCGAAGGCTAAGACGCTCACTCTTACCCTAGTAGACTAACCTAGTAGGCTAGTTAGTGAGCCTAGTAGTGTGTAACTTAGGCTAGAGAGCCTAGTAGGCTAGTGGACCTAGTGTCACTAGTGGATGGAGAGATCCGTGAGATTATAGGGAGGAGAAACACTATTGTCATATATCATTCTAGGAGAAGTGTGGAGAGAAGGAAGCCGCTTGTGAGGCGCTTCGGATGCATGACTGCCCTCAAGGAGTGACGCACGAGTGCCGGGCACTATGATAAGACCCAACAACGAGTGACCATAACACAAATTTCGCCCAAACACAACACATCTCAGCCCGATCGTCCGCCTTTCCTAGGCCCGGCCGGCCGCCGCATGAGGTGATGTCTGACTTCCTCCAGCTGCTCGACCAGAGACTCACCTGCCGCCGCGCCTAGAGTAACATTTGTCTCCAGATCCCCCTATTCGGCCGCCGCTTTTTTAAACTCTGTCCTGAGAAAAGCGACCCGCTCGCTTCTTCCTCCTATATCTCTTCTTGAAATCGGACTTGAGGCTAGAGTGCGATCGAACTCCTCGCTTTTTGGCCCAACTGCTGTACACTCCACCCATCGGCTGCCATCGCAACGGCCTAGAGGGCTTTTTCCAGCTCCCCGTTCAATCTCCCAGGCTATTGCCACCTCCGCGCCCCCGCCCACGGTTGTGAACACGAGGAGGGGTAAGTATGGGTTAGGCGCTGACGGGCTTCGTTGATGCTATATTGGAGTACATGCGCGGAAGGCGCGGTTGCCGCCGTGATCACATGCGGGGCGTGCGGTTCCGTGGAACCTGCGACAGCGCAAGTCGCATTGTTTAAAGGGTACGAGCTGGGCGGGCGAAACACCGCAAAACCGCCGCCGCTTTTGATAGGCTATCTTTCTTGCGAAAATTGTTGCGCCAATCTACTACAAGCCTTGACTTTATGGAGACACAACAGTCTCTGCAAGGCGTCGCGAATCACGCAGCTACAGTGCAAGAGTGCCGTCGGTACTTGAAGCATTGGACTCGATCCCAAACGTTTCATTCCGAGAGATCCCACTCACCTATGCGGAGGAGAAGCAGCAGGTGAGCGAACACGTAGCACTGCGCCGCCTCGTGCTCCATCAGCTGCATCACGTCTTCGGGCTCAACGATTTCCATTGCTCCCCTCGATGGCGAAAGAAAAGAGGGCGTCCCTCGAGGCCGCGCCCTTAGCACCGCGCCAGCCGGAACCCCTTCTTGACCGTCTCCTCGCCCGTGACCGAATCATTCTCCTTCTCAGGACTCTCTCGATTGAAAGAGGTAGATAGGACCTCGTTAGACACGTGCCGCAAACCACAAAGCGTCAAAGTCCACGAATTTTGAGGGCGCCTAAAGTTCAACATGCGCCGGTCTTAGCATTCCAAGCGCATCGCGGGCCCCCTCACTCGCTCCAAGCGCTGCACCTCGGTTCGTACCGTGTCACAAAAAGTCCACCTTGATTGTTACCATCAATGGTCGTCATTGACATTTGCCGAAGGGCTTTCTTCAAGCTGCCTTCCTTTTTTATCAGCTCGAGTGCCAGACGCAGGAGAGCGCGTGTAGAATTTGTCAACAATCCAGATGAAGTATTTTATGCTGCTCGGGCACGGCAACGGAGCACTGAGGTATCAGGGTCGCGCTTAAGGGCCTTCCGCACCCGCTTCTTTCTAGCAGCTTAACAGCGTTTATAGCGGCCAAGTATGAGCTTGGTCATAGCTAAAGGACTACGAAGTGGACGGGGCTCGCGAAATTGAACCGTAAAATAGTACCCGGATCATTAGTAGTATGCCCCGGTCACAAGTTTGAGTGGACTCTATAGGTCGTATTGTAAGTGGTAGAGTGACCAGTTGATGGAAGAAGTCCATACGGTTGAATCGACCAGTGGGTGGTAAAAGTACATCCGACCTAGGCTAGAGTGCACCTAGCTACGGAATTGGAGTGACTTGGACTATTGTCATGCGATGGACAATCTTTTTAAGAGGTGTCTGCTGGAGAGGAAGGCCCTTCTTTGTGAAGGCGCTTATGTGCGAGGGTGGTTAGTCCCTAAGTTACCGCAAGCATGAGTGAATGATTGCAATACTCCCTACATACATACTCGCTCTGTTAATCCGCCATCTAACGCGGTTCATGTGAGTTGAGATTCGGGCATTTAGGGACCGAGCCTCCGGGTGCCCCTAGGTATTTAGGATGACGACGTCGACAGTGATTCGAGGGTAAGTAGTACTTACGGTTACACGATTAAATGCGCGCGGGTTTGTAGCGTTACACCCGAATGACTTGGCAATAACCGTCAATGCTGTGTAGGTTCGATAATGGCCGTCGATGTACGTTATAGAGTGAAATTTTCGGACTTACTTGGTGACGGTCCACTGAGCCTACAAGGCT